TCGGGGTTTCGGAGATGATGGTGGTTATCTATCACCAGAGGGTTTTGATGTGTCCTCTTCACTCGCTAAGGGCCATGGTAGATGGAAATTTTGTTGGATATCTCAGGTGAAAATTGCAGCTTGGCTTCAATTTTGGCTTCTTCAAGTCTATTTCCATAGCTGTACAGATATCTGATTTGACTTGGTCATAGTGACTTTAATAACAGGTGACATCACCTGAACTCTCACTCTGTGCTGGGCCCTGTGCCAAACTTGTTATCTCATAGAATTCTCACAATAACCTTCTGAGATTGGTGTTAGTATTCTCCCCATTTTCTAGATGAGGAAACTGAGATCACTTTCTCAAGGTCACAATCAGGACTTAATTCCCCATCTCTATGACCCCAAAGTCTGTGACTTCAACCACTGAATTACACTGCCTCAGTATGGATGCTTCTTTGAATCTTCAACATTGAACATTTGCATGGAATGAAATGCCACCCCCCCTTGCTTTCCTTTCTTCTCTGACCATGGGCAGGAAAGAGTCTGCTGATGTTTGCTGCTGTAACTGGAAGCTCCTTTCTGGTCCTTGCTGTGGGCCCCTGGGGAGAGAAACATGGCTGGCATCCCAGGCACTAAGGAGACTTTGCAGGTATGCTTGGGCTCCTTCATGCCAGCGAGCAGCAGGTCTCCTGAATGGTGGGGCTTTTAGGCTGTTTGTGTGAGATGCCCCCAGCGTTAAATCAACAGACTTTTCTCAACTCTCCATCCAGGAGTCTGAAAATCTGCAAGGAGGCTGTGCTCCGGCCACAAGAGGGCACCCCACTCCCAGGCAGGCAGGATGAGAGTTTGTGGGAGGTGGGTGGGAGGAGCTGAGAGATTCCTTTTGGATGCACCTTCAAACCAAGCACTCTTAAACTCATTCCTTGGGGGGAAATGGAGGAGGGATGGGGGTGGGGTGGGGAGGTGGGGAGAGATAGCATGGGGAGAAATGCCATATATAGGTGAAAGGGAGGAAGGCAGGAAATCACACTGCCATGTGTGTACCTATGCAACAATCTTGCATGTTCTTCACATGTACCCCAAAACCTAAATGCAATTAAAAAAAAAAAAACTCATTCCTTGGGAAGGGGAGGAATGTTTTCAAGCCCACCGAAAAGTTTCATTTCATTCAACTAGTATGAAGCTAAGGGATGAAGGATCCAGCAGGGAAAACCACATGGTTCCTGCCCTCAAGGAGTCTACAGTCAAGTGGAAGACAAATAATTAGAAGGGAATGTGATGCGTGCCAAGGTCTTTATCCAGAACAGTCATTTAGTAAGCATTTAATGAGCACCTACTATGTGCCAGGTTCTGTGCTGGTTGCCAAGGATAGGAAAATGAACAGCGCAGCCATTACCCTCAAAAACCAGTCTACTTGGAAGACAGCAAATTTGGAAAAATAGGAAAATGTAGCCATCAATCTATCTATCGATCGATTGATCTAGTGATCAATCAAGAGAAAGAACTGAGAAGGAGCACCCAACCCAGTCCAGGAGGGAAGAGGGAGTATTAGGGAAGGCTTCCTGGAGGAAGAACACCCGACCCATGCTGGAATGAATTAGGATATTAGGGAAGACTTCTTGAAGGAAAGGGCGTCAGAGCCAAGTCATAAAAGACAAATAGGGATTTACCAGGCAAAGCAACAGAGGGTATTCCAGGTGGTGGAGGCTACATATATGCAGACCAAGGTGTGCATGTGGGCAGACATTGGGCACCACGTTAAGGAAATGGGGTCTTTCCCAGCATATGATGGAAAAGCAGGAACTAAGAGAGTGAGGTGAGGGAATGATAAGACCCCTACTCCGTGTGTAGGAGAGGACACTTTACACATGGTAACATTTGAACTGGACCATGGAGTGTGTGTGGGGTTCACCAGGTGGAGGAGGGAGAGAAACAGTAGAAACACTCTGTAAGGGGCAGCTTTGCCATTCCATGGGGGCCACTCAACAGGGACTCTCCAGGGTCCCTGCCCCATCTACTTCCTCTTTACAGCATTCCTCTCTTTAGTTACACCAGAGCAAAAGGGCTCAGTGCCGGAGAGAGCGGGGCAAAGAGAAATATCCACATGGGGTCTCTGGGTGGGTCTGGTGAAAGGATTCCAAGAAAAGAGGTGGATGAAGCAAAAGTTGAAGATTTGGGGCTCAGTTTCTTCGCCACTCCAGTGTCTCTGACCTGAGAATGTCCCAAATCAAACTTCTCAGGGCAGCTGGGCTCCGGACAGATGATGATATGGGGTTGGGACTGACATGCAGGGTCTGGTGTGGGTGCAGCTGAGAGACGCACCCACACTGCCTGGTTTCAGGGCTGGCATCACCTTCCCCATATCTCTTCTCTCCTCATTGCTTTGGTGTCCTCATCAGTGGAGAGAGGGTAATAACACCATCTCCCACCTAAGGTTACTATGGCAAGTGAGGATGGAAAACACTTGATACAGTCCCTAGGCCACGGTTGGCACTCACATTTAGGCAGCAGTAACAGTAGCTGCTGTTGCTATTATGGTGATGATTAAGCCTCCTGTTTGATAAAGCTGAAAAATCTTTAATGTCTGTGTTTTATGCTTATAATTTCAGAGATGTATTCTCTCAGTTTCAGATCAAAGCTTAATCAGCACCTGGCTGGAGTGCTTGTTTTTACTGTCTCCTTTCCATCTTTTTCTCAGTATGAGAGGTCCTGTTGGAAATGGAATAATTTCACCTCCTAAGAAACTGTTGGCAAGTAAAAAAGAATCTTAAATACCTTGGGATTTATTTATTTATTTATTTCAGCATCAGACTGGGAATAATTGCTAAGGCCCTCACTTTTGTTATCATTTTTTAAATTTTATTATTATCGTTATTATTATTTTAGAGACAGGGTCTCACTATGTCACCTAGGCTGGAGCATAGCGGTACAATCGTAGCTCACTACAGCCTCAAACTCCTGGTCTCTGGTGATCCTCCCATCTCAGCCTCCTGAGTAACTGGGACTACAGGCATATACCTCCACGCCTGGCTAATTTTTAAGTTTTTTGTACAGACAGGGTCTTGCTATGTTGCCTAGATTGGTCTCAAACTCCTGGCTTCCCAAAGTGCTGGGATTACAGAGGTGAGACACTGTACTCAGCCCTCTTTTAATTTTTTTTTTTAATTTTAGCAATGTATTTTATTTAACCCAAACATTTGATGCATACAAAAAATATTGTTAGTAAGGTATTGTCCTTTTTTTTCATTCTAAGCCTATTTCAGTCAAGCCTTGCCATAATTCAAGTGCTCACGTGGACAAGTAGCTCTGTTATTGGACAGGGCACCTCTATACTAAGAAATGCCCAGGCTGTGACCTCCATTCTTGAGGGTATGGTTAGTCTCAGCCTTCCATATACATTGTACTTCTTTTTGATAGTTTCAAGTTGCGTCATAAGCTTAACTCTGATGGATACTAGCACTCATAACACTTTTCTATTAATTAATTGTTTAAATATCATACCATTACCCATTTCGGTGAGTTACCTATACATTTCCTTACCTTTGCGATTCCGTGTAAGGGAACGCCATGAATGCAGCATGTTGTAGGCAGAAGGCAGATGTTTACCCGCTGGTGGGGTGAGGCCAGTGCCTGTGTGTAGGATTGAGATCAGACATCACTGCTCTCTCTTCTCTTGAATGAATCCATAACCGGCCATGGATCAAAGGCTGTGAGCTGAGGGGTCCCTGGGAGAACTCCTCTTTACCTTCCTTCCTTTTACCATTTAGAGATCCTTCAACAAATATTTAAGTTGCTGTTCTACGTGACTCACTTTGCTGGGCATGGAGTCTACAAAGAATATCATTCAATCTCCTGGGTCTTGAAGAGTCCCCAAGAGTGAAACCAAACCTTCCAGAAGCTTCCACTTAGTTTTAGCTGCAGATTCTTTCTTCTGAAGGAACTATCAGACAGATCTGCATAATATAATAATGGTAACAATTCACGTTTATACTTCGTATGAATTCACTTACCTGCATTGTTTAATCCTCTCCACAATTCTCCAAAGAAGGACTCTTTTGTAGGCAAGACAACTGAGGCTTGAGAGGTTTAATGGACTCACTCAGGGGTGGCAAGACCAGTATTTGAATCTGGGGGGTCCGGCCCCAGGATAATATAGTTCCTACAGGCTGCACCTGCTCTCCTCCAGCAACGCTGCTATGGTAGGCACAGCGATGAGGGGCGGGGCGACCCAGGGTCCCTTCCCTGTAACACTTCTGATCCCTTGCAGCTGCCTGTCATTTGGGGGAGCACCCTCCCTCCTGAACTCCTAAGGTGGGCACTGTCTGAGGCTCCTGGTAGGCAATGGACCAAGAACCAGACAGAGCTGTGGGTGGGCTGGGAAGAAGGAGCCCAGCACCAGAAGTCCTGACCAAGAGGAAGCGTTTCCAGAAGAGGCACTGCGATCCTACCGAAGGCTTAATCTACTTAGATCTCTTGAAAGTCATCAGGCTTACCATCTACAGAAGTGCATTAATTATTGTTACCTGGAGGAAGGGCAGTGGATTTGGGGGTTAAACACATAGATGGTGAATGCCGCCTTGACATAGATCTAGACTCACTTGAGGACAGCCCGAGATTTGCTGTTTCTGTCAGATGGCTGATGGGCAGCTTGGTCACGAGTCGGGGGCTTAGAGCTCTGGGGAGTTGAGATGTTTAGGCAAAAGTTGTGGGATTGGAGTTAGAAGCTGAACTTGAACCCTGGCTCTCTAGAGCTACTCTAGGGACCTGGGCAAAAAAGAATGGCTGAAATGTTTGCTTGTGCCTCAGTGTAGCATGAGCTTCTTAAAGGGACCTAGAGGAGAGAGGGCAAACCCTTTTTGCCCAGCCCTTGTGTCTCTGCCGGAAAGCCTGTGGGCTCTTCTGATTTCTCCCTGTGGATTTTGGACCCCTCATGGGAAACACAAGGCTGGGCTTCACAGCTGTAACTTTGTGCACCTTTGGATATACTTCCTTTTCCTCTTTTTCTGTCTCTCTTTCAGAGCCAAGAAGAAGAGCAAACCCTTGAACCTCAAGATCCACAGCAGCGTAGGCAGCTGCGAGAACATCCCCTCCCAGCAGCGCTCCCCGCTGCTGTCCGAGCGCTCCCTCCGCTCCTTCTTTGTGGGACACGCACCTTTCCTGCCTTCCACCCCTCCTGTTCACACTGAGGCCAACTTCTCTGCAAGTAAGTGACCCACTGGGCTGCACTGGGGATGCTGGCTGTGCCACCTCCTTCTCCCCGGCACCTGCTATCCTCTGTGCCAGGTGCAAACCCTCTTTTCCTTATCACAGAGACTTGTGAAATGCTCACTGATAGAGCTTCATCCATCCTCTGCCCATGGTCCCCCCATCTGCCTATGCTACTCACGCCCATTTGGATGATTTTGGAGGGGGAGCATAATTGACGCTGGGGAGGTTGACTGGCTGTTGCCATTGGTCTCAGGTGTGAAGGAAAGATAGAGGAAAGCAAGCAGGCATTCAGGGAAGCACCCGCCCTCTCTCTCCCTCCTCCCTGCCGTCTCTCAGCTGCCTGATTACTGGATTTTTCTTGGCCGCTGTGGCTAAGGCATCTATGATTAAGTTTCGCCTTTTTTTCCCCACTCAGGTCAACACATATAACCTTTACATCTCAAAGATGTATTTGGGTTCAAATGGGGTTGAGCATGGCCTGGAGTGGTTTACTTTCTGTTCTTAAGAATTTCTGCCAGAGACAGAGTAGTTATTACTTGGAGCGGAAATGGAACTTTCTGAGGATGGAGAACTGAGGTTTCAGAAGGTGTTTAATCTTCTCTACCCAGAGGCCCGGTTTGCTGAACAGGCACAGATGTGGTCAGAGGGGCACCCCCCTGAATAAAGCCCAGCCAGTCCCCCAGCCAAGACAGCAACTTTTATTGATTGGTTGCTCAAGAGAAGGAAGGGCTCTGAGAATGTGGAAGAAATAACCCCTGGCCCTTAATTCAGCCACAGGCTGTGCACATTGTGGTGTTGTTCTGAGAAATGATAAGACATGTTCACTGAGCATTGATACGTGCTCATCACTCACAGGGAGGGTCTCATCTAGTTGTTGCAGCAATCCCTCCTGCAGATGGATCGTTCCCACTGTACGGAAGGGGAAACTGAGGCCCAGGGACATCAAAGAACTTGCTCAAAGTCACACAGCTGTTGAGGATTTGAGCTGGGATTTGAATTCGGTTCTTTCTAACACATCACACATCATTTGATAACCATGACCCCTTAAATACCCAGCAGAATGCTTTCTCGAAATATGGGGTTCTGTTCATTACTTTTACCTAAGAGTTCTGACACTTTGAGAATTCGACAAGATCTATTAATTCTATGCCTGGAAAAAAAGGCGCAGGTAATATCCAACATCCACCTACATGGTTAGGCTGGGACCGAATGGTGAGCTTGGTTTATAGCCCACAGGTATATATGGCGCATCCATGGTAGGAATCAGCTGATGGTATGGACTGATGATCCATGTGGATATCAGTCAGGAGATGGTCCAGAGACTACCTTGTCTCAGTGCCCAGGTTAGGCAGGCTCTAAATCTAGCAAACTAAAATAGCACCCACTACTCACAGGTGCACACCAGAGGCCAATTTATCAAATTTGTCCAGAGAAATCACTGCCAGACAGAGCACCCTTCATGAGGGTGGGCCTGCATGGTAGTCAAAGAGAGTGGCTCCGTGAGTGTGAATGAGGAAAAGGGGAGATAGTGACATGTCCAGTGTGTAGCAGTGGCCAGATGGGGCAGATGTCACAGCCAGGAACAGATACCTGGGTTTGAACCCCAGTTATTCTACTTTTAAGCAATTGTGCATGACCTAAAGTGAGTTCAAAGCCTCTGAACCTGTTTCCTCAGCTGTAAAATGGGGATGATAAGAGGTTCACCTTGTACGTGGTGGTGAGGATTGGATAAGATCACGCATGCCAAGCCTTCTGCACAGTTCCCAGCACACAGCAGGTGCCTAATAAATGGTGGCTTTTATGATGATGATTTATTCTTGAAGCATTTACAGCCTGTGGTCTGATGGTTAATCTGGGGCTTCTATGGCTAAATGCCTTGCAGTTTACTGCCCCCCCACCGCCAACTTCCCCATGGCCCTAAGAATGCTTGGCATTTACCTTGGCATGACTCTGGATGGCTGCCTCTAGCAGCCATCTGTCCTTGGTCATCGCCATCCTATGAGTGAATGTCAGCATGGCCCCCTCCAGGGGTTTGACCACTGCTCTGCACTTTAGTTTTGGCCAAAGTAAAAACATCTCCCTCCTGCTTGAAAAAAACAAACAAAAAAACCAGACTCAAACATTTGAGCCCCTGTCTGTACCAAAGAGTTTTTGAGGATTCACTGTGGCTTCTAACTTTTCGTTCCTGCCCTGGTCTCCACCAAAGAGGAAAAGCTTTTCCACTGCTTGCCTATGGACAGGAGCAAAGTCCTTAATTAAAAGGCTGCTCCCAGCACTAGGAGGCACCAGGAGCGCAACTACCCCTTGGACAGTCTTGGTGTTTGCATGCAAAGAAGTTGCTCTCTGATCTCCCAGAAAGAAGAAAGATAGCATTTGAGTCTCAGTGGAAGAATGAGTGTGTAACCCAAATGTGAGCTGAAACCCTGGGGACCACTTCCCTGTCTGTTGATTCTAATAAGTAACAGAAACAGAGGCAGCCCGGTGTGGTGGGCACGTTGCAGTTTGGGAACTGAGACGCTCTCTGTTGGAATCTCAGTGCTGCCTCCAGTTACCTGTGTGGCCTCTGTCTCTGCCTGGTGTGTCAGCTGCACTGTTTCAGGTAAGACTCACCCCAATCTGTGAGGCAGGTGCTAGAATTCCCATGTTACAGATCAAGAAACTGAGGCTCAGAATGGTGCATGACCTTGTCCATGGGGTCCCTTGTGAATCCAGATCCAATCTAGCCTGCATTCCATCACTTCAATGCAGCAAGTTCCTTTCTCTATCTGGGTCTCAGTACCCCAGAGGGTCCATTTCAGTGACTCTGAGGTCTACCCACTGAAGTTTCTAGGCAAACCTTTGACTCTTTCAGAATGCTGGTTCTGGGGACTCTGGGTGGGGTTTGGGGTTGGGAGAACACAGCTACCAGGTGCCAGCTCCTCCTTCTTTGTAATGGTTCCCATTCCCCTGCCACCATGAATTTCTGGAGAGAACTCCCTGCCTTTGGGCCCTGGTGACCATCTTTCTCCTGTTGATCCAGCCAAGGGAGCCCCTGGGGCTATGTCCCTGCCAAGCTCAGTCTGTCTGCCTATTTGTCGGCTCTGGCTCTGGTCTGTGCTTTGAAGGGTGGTGACACGCCATCTTGTTACCTTATGATGGTAACACTTGGGGATAGCCTTAGGCAGATCTGGTTGTAGCGTGGCTGAACCTCACAACCTCAGGGTGCTCAGCCACCTTGAGTGAGCTGCGAGAAGGATGCCACCTTCTTGGGACTTACCCTACTCCCCTGGTCTGGGAGTGGCGAGTGGGGACAGGGAGGGAGGGGAGCGGCAGGAGCTTTTGCTGATGGAGGAATCTGTCTCCGAGGTTCACCAGTCCTTGGGGTTCATAGCCTCATCAAGCAGGGCTAGAATGAAAGACATCAGATGCTTCTGTTTACCATGGGAGATCCTGACTCAAATGAACCTGCTTCCTAGAGAAATAGAGAGCAGTGGACTTACCTCTCCATCCTTGCTGTATTTATTCTGCGCTGCATTTAGGTGGGCCACCATGCTCTGGTGGTTTGGTTAGGTGCCCTTCACCATGGACCATCTTTAGTCCACCAATCTGCAAGCCTGGGTTCTCCTTGTAGTTTGTCTCTCATCCCAGCGGATGGAGGTCAGGCTGTCTTAAATCTCCTAAAGAAAGGCTACTTCAGAATGAAAGAGTGCCACCTAGATGGAAGGAATGATTGTCATCATTCATTACCAGCTGGTGGAAGTGACTTCGGGTTTAAAGCAACTAACTAGATGCTGTCAAGTCACTGAGAAAATCACTTCACTTCTTCAGTCTGTTTTCTACCCAGCAATGATGCAGTGAGGATAAAACGTTAAGTGGATGTACATTCCCTAGCATGGGGACTGGTACTTAGAGCGCTGAGTCTCAATAAAGGGTGACTTTGGGAGCTATTGCTGTATGTTACATGATGAAGTGGTTTGTAACAATGTTGAAAACAATGGTCATAATGGCAATTGGCACGTATTGTGTTGACAATGTCCCAGGCATGGGACAAAGCAATTTGCTTTTATTATGTCATTTAAGCTCCATAATCCTCTATAAGGTAGGTACTACTATTATCCCCATTTTACAGATGAAGAAACTGGGGCTGAGAGAGTTTAAGCAGTTGGTCCAAGATTACAAGGCCAGGAGGGAGGTGAAGTTTGCAGTCCTGTTGAATCCTCCACTCTGAAATGCTAGGGTATGAAATTGCAATGTCATCGTCATTAAAACTTCCTTGTTCATCATGTAAGGAACTGAACATGCTCAGGTTTTCTCTCTGAAGCCCTTGCATTGCTGGGGGAGTGTGTTGTGTGTGACAGCCTTGCTCAAAGGGTGCCTTTTTGTTAGTGTGCTGGGCTCACTTAGAAAGCAGCAACCATGCTGGGCACATTGGCTCACCCCTGTAATCCCAGAACTTTGGGAGGCCAAGGCGGGCAGATCACGTGAGGTCAGGAGTTCGAGACCAGCCTGGCCAACATGGTGAAATTCTGTCTGTACTAAAAATATAAAATTAAAATACAAAAATACAAAATTGAAAAATACTAAAATTAGCCGGGCGTGGCGGCAGATGCCTGTAATCCCAGCTACTTGGGAGGCTGAGGCAGGAAAATCTGAACCTAGGAGGTGGAGGTTACAGTGAGCCAAGATTGCGCCATTGCACTTCAGCCTGGGCAACAAGAGCAAAACTCTCTCTCAAAAAAA